TTTATTTTCTTCGGATGTGTACCACCGTTTCCGTGCTCTTCCTCTTTTATTCACCGTTTTTTCTCTTCTCTTCCCTTTTTTCCCTCTTCTTCTTCTTCTTCTTCTTCTTCTTCGCACCCCAGTTCCAAGCGGACTTTTTGCGCTCCATTCTCCGCTCCCTCATTCGTACGCCGAGGACATTCTTTCTCCTCGAATGCTTCTGTTCCGCACTCCACTTGCCAGCCTTTTGTTCCGTCCTCCTTTTCTCCACCACGGTTATTTCGCGGGCAATACAGAAGGGAACACGACTTTTACCAAAGTTGAATGAAGAGCTTCGTGATCTGGTTATCTTTCTGCGATCTTCATCATTCCTGCGCGCATTCGACGTGCTCCGCATCTCGCGTTCACCTCGTCCATATTTATTCTTTCTCCCTTCGAAACGAAAAACGAGGCGAGGCCTCCGTTACACGGAACTCTCGTTATTACAACGAACAATATCGAAGAATATGATCCAAGTATGAAAAAATGAAAACGCAAAGGCATTACGATTTCCAAGGAAAGAACGGAGCGGGATTAATCGAGCCGACCAACTTAACGAGCGTTGGATAAACATCTGGGGGAGAAATTTGTGGAAAGTTGGGCGCACGAAATTACCGGCGAGTTTCCAACGATTGAAACGGCGGAGTTGCAAGTTGGCGCATGGTCACCGCTTATCCGCGTATGGATCAGATAATGGCGGACACGCAGCCCCGGCCTGTGTCTCTACCAGTTCGTGCCCGGATGAAGTAAAGGCCAGATCGCATAACGCCACCGTTTCTTCTTTCTACCTACCTGTCCGCTATTTCTTCTTTTTCTTTTCTTTTTCTATCTTTTCTACCTTCCCGCTTGTCTCACCGGTCACTCGGATTCGCGGGATTCAAGAAGAGTGCGGCCACTCCTTCTCTCGATTAAGTGAGACATGGTTGCAACCTTTGAAGAAGAAGAATGCAGCGCATCAAGCGTTTGGGATCACGAGCGTTAAACGAGTTCACGGATAAAACCGTGTAATCGAGACGTTCCGTGCGTACGGCTCACCATCGTTTAGGATCAATGATGATTCCAGTGCACGGAACTCGCAGCCTTGTAATGTTGATACGAAACCCCTTCGCGAAATTGTGGTGGATCTGTTTCTCTCGTTCGAGTACAAAGGGATACGCGGTTTCGAACGAGTCTTTTACTCGTAGCTACTCGTTTGGTTAGATAATACCCGATCAGGGGAACGAATACAAGGTAGAATACGAGATGGAAACTTTTGAAAGTTTCATCCCCCTTGATACGTAATGATACGTCTCGTTCTGAAGGGGAACGATTTCCAAAGATGGATCGATCTGTTTAACTATTTATTTAATTACGATGAGATTTTGTTTCTACAAACGAAGCGAGAGACTATTCGAAATTTCGTAAAATACTTAATCATGCGTTTCTCTTATTTCATTCAGTTCCGAATCTTCTTCGATCGAATCCTCCACGATACAATTTTCACAATTAATCTTTTGTACAATTGAAGTTAGTTTATCTCGTTGCCAAATGTGCACAATTCAGAATCTTCCATTCCCCCAAGAAGGAATAATTAATTTTCGTCGTAAACGACGCGTTCTCCAGCCCGTTCTTCTCCATAACGAAACTTCCATAACGAAATTAACTCGAGTAAATAATAATTAGGGATCCGCATTCGTCTCGTTTCCAAAAATAAAATTTCAGAACCTTCGATTCTCGAGAAGGAATAATTACGAACAATTTCTCTGATTAAAATAAAATCGTTACCGTGAACGGCGGAGCGTCGTCATATTCCCTGGAGAGCCTCGTTAAATTGTGTGATCGAGGACGCGACAGCACACGATTCAATCGATTGGAATCGGTATTTCGGTATTGGATCCCATTAACGAGCCGATACGAGACTCGAATCGTCACCGTAATGAGATAATGACAGGTGCACCCGGTTTCGTATTTGATTCGCGACGCGGATAAGATCGATGCGTAACACGTTGTCCGTGTCACGCGACCACGCACACGCGCGCTGTAATTTAGATGAGGATCTGCCTGAGCTCGCTCGACAAAACGAGCTTTATTTGCACGGCCATTTTTCGCGCCGCCTACCAACGCTTCCCGTATTTTTGCGCCTTCAATTACGCTCGCCTCTCCCCCTCCCCTCGTTTCAATGGATACATAACTCGAGAACACATAACGACTCGATACGTTTTTTCCAGTTTGCTAGTTATTATTATTGTCGTTCCGTATAGAGGATCGATTGGAAACGGCGCTTTCGTCGTTTCTCTCTCGGTGTAATGAAAGGGTTGATTGTAGATTCGAATAACAGGTTTGAATGAATAAGTGTATCGATTTGGAGGTGGCGGAGTTACAGCGATCCAGGTAATTTTATGAGTCTCGACTCGAAGAATTTAAATTAACTTTGGGTGTGGATTAACGTACGGTTGAATTCATATCAACGGGATTCAATTCGGATTTCGTATCCAAAAATCGATTCTATCCGCTTGAGTTAATAAAATATACATACCTTTCTCCCCGTGGTGCATAAATATTTTCCCCGTTTGTCATCTCCTACACGGATAATAGTGTGGCCTCCTTCCTTCTAGGCGCGAGCTAGGCAAAATATTTTATCAAACGTGGCCATGTTGTCCGCGTTGAAGATCGTAAATCCGACGAACTGTTCTCCCTTCCCCGGCCAATATCGTTTCGGTTTCTCTGAAAAATTGGCCACCGAGAAGTAATCGTTGACGATATTTATAGAAACCTCCACGTCGTCCCTCCACGAGCTTCTTTCTTTTTCTTTTCTTTTTCCTTCTTCCCCTCGATATTAAGCGTAAATCGTGACACCTATAGTTTTATAATATATACGCAACGGAACTGGGCTCGAGCGGCCATTTTATTGGACGAGAATTCAAGAAAGGGAACACGAATTTCTTCTCCCTGTGTGAAACCTGGTACGGCCCCCTCGTGAGAGCCCTCATCAAGCTTTAGTTCCTACTTAACTCCGGTTATATATGTAAACGCGACCGAATCGTTAACCATCTTACCTGCATTTTCTACGGCCAACGTAGAAACTCAAGCCCGTGGAATGTGGCCGGATCGTCGTTAATAGTCTGTGAAGATCATAACTCTCTCGACGGCTGTCTTACTCATCCACCCGGACGAGGCTTTAGCCTTGTTCCTCGAAACGGTGTCGGAGGAATTAACCAGCGGATCTCTATTGAGCTCGTAGCGCCCTTCAGGTAGTCGGTTTATCGTCCAGCTCGGTGTTAAAGTCGGAATAAAGTCCGTGGGGAAAGTGTTGAGGTGAAACGTCGTGTCAGGCTTTCGGTATAAGCGTGGCATAAGAAATCGATTGAAAATTATCGTTGGATAACGGTGCAGGACCCTCTCTCTTGTCGCATAAACGAAATTTTTCTCGTGATGCTACATGTTCGGAATTCGAATACCGTTTACGGATATTATCCGTATATTTGTGTACAAAATGATTTAAAAAGCTGCATCGTTATACATTGCAGATGATCTTAACCAGTTAACTCTGCTGGTTCGTCTCGTTCGTTCTTCCGTGTTCGTTTTTTTTTTTTTTCTTTAAGCAAATTTTCGATCTTAAAACTTGGATCATTTATGGCAAACGAATTACAATAAATTTCAATTAGCCAACATCGATAAAACGTACGGATCGATTCTTTATACCCAATGTGAAATCCAATATTCATCATCGACAACTTTTTACTACGCGATTCACTTTCTATCGTCAACCTCTCGATAAAAAGTAAATTTCTATTTGAATATTATTATTATGCTTATACTTCTATTTTTGTTCCTCTCTCGTAAATATATATATATATATTCCTTTATTTCGAGTGTCTTCTATCTCTCTATCTCTTGTACATCTCCTTGAAGAGGAATAATAAAAGAAAATCGATTATATAGACCAGCCAATTTCTCCGTCTCGCTTTCATAAACGACTTCGTCCACCGCGCAAATCCCTGGACGTCTCTATCGAAATGGCCGCCAACAGGTTCACCCTTCCACCTCGTTCGCTCTAAAAGAGAGAGAGAGATAAAGAGAAAAAACAAACGTCCAACGATCATCGTAACTGTCGGTCAAAATTTATAATTCGACGAGGGTTGCAGAGAAGGTCCTCCTCGGGTCACCCCGAGGAAAATAAGAGGAAGAAGAAAAAGCGTGGGGGACGAAGGGTAAGAAGGGGGGCGTCGTAGGAGAGAGAGGGTAAAAAAAAAAAGGAAAGGAGCACCGAGTTGCACCGAGGGAATTGGACCAATCAGGGGCACCGGTTCCAACCGTGGCACACTATTAATCCCAGGGGATTTGCCATGGGGGTTTTTGCGTTCGTGATCCGAACTCGGGGTGGCGTTGCGGTTGCCAGTGCGGTTTGATTTATCTTGGCCTGCTTCTCACGCAACCGCGATAACTCACCGGCCCTTAATTTCTATTTTTCAACCCCTCCTCGTCTACGTAAATCCTCGATTCCATCTTCGAACCAAGGCTCCAGCTTTTTCGATGCTTCCGCGTCCACCTCGAGATCGACAGGTTAATTGCACCTTTGGGAACGGTTCTTACTCGATTGTTGCTCGATCGATTGCCGATGGAGCCGGTTACGTGGGCGCGGCCACCATCGATTCGAGATCGAACCGACGGTTTATTAATCCTGAATCGCGTGTCTCTTTCTCTCTTGTTTTCTATCACGTTTAATTTCATCCCATTCTATTCAATGTCATTCCGTGTTGAGGAAAAATTTCACTATTTCATTCTCGAATATGTATCGATAAGGTGTTTAATACGTGTTGATCAAGAAAAAAGAAAAAAGTTTACACGTTTATTGCGTGTGAGATATCGTTTGTAGACACGAAAGGGTTAATTAAATTCTCGTATGAGATACCGACGCCTATATCGCTGTGCCCTCTCCGACAATCATCGCGTGTCGTGTACGGAAAAACGTTTAGTTCCGCACAATTTCTCATTTAAGGAAAGGAGAGAAGAGTTAATAAGAAGCGATTTCAGATTCCCGGAAGGGATTAGCTTCTTTTCTCAGTTTGCTTTCGCAGGCAAGCGTGATGGCTTCTTGTCAAGGATTAAGCGAATTCTGTGTACGTTCTCTTGTGTACACGATACGACGCTAGTTGTGATTTAGACGGCGTATTAAGAACGTTCTGTTGAACGCTCGATCTCCGCGCGATACATACATCCACCGTGGATCTGTTATTTGTCCACGGGTGCGATCGTTTGTCAAAGAGATGATCGATCGGATCTATATCGGTCTATTAGAAACGGTAAGAGAGATCTTGCTCGTCTGCATCAAACGCATCATTCTTATTCAACTCTTTCCTTTTCTACAATTTATTTATATAAAATATTTTATCGACGCTAAAATAATATCAATTTTGCGTGTAAATTTTATCTATATATTTTAAAAATTTCAATAGAATGAACGAAATTTTTATACATCTCATCATAAACGAAATTTTTTCCATCTTTCGGTCTATCTAACGATCATTCGAAATCACGAAATCAGTGAGAAAGCCGGTTCGAACGTCCATCTTTCGTGGAAAATGAGAAAGTAATGGGGGAACGAGGGTGGAGTCGAGTTCCCTCTCAAATGGGAGCCGGCTGGCAGCCTGTGGAAAGGCGCGGCGCGCATTCACGACGAAAAAGTGGCGGAGAATCTTGGCAAATGACGATGGGATGACGATGCCGCCTCGTAAGGGAAATGAGTAACGATCGCCGAAAGCGTGACCATTCGAGTTCGATTGTCGGAAGCATTATCGATTATGATAGCCACCCTAGTCGTGATCGATCAGAGGAACTTGGAGCTCGGCCGGAATTCATTCGTCTTCCGCTTGTTCGACGCCTGTCGATCCACACGTTGTTGCCGAGTTACACTTGGAGTGCACTGGGAACAATCCTCGACGACTGGTTAGCCTGTTAACGTCATTGGTTACGATGCTGGTTAAATTCACGTCGAAGAAGGACTAGGAGAAATATTGTTATAGTTATGTCTTTATTATACCTCGACACAGAGATTGTGATCTCGATTGGATGGAAGATGTTTGACTCGATTACTTAATGTAACTTTCGCTGCCTCGTACAACTTTGGAATAGAGGAATATGGTATTGAAACGTTTGTACGTGGAATTGTACGTGTACGAATTATTGTATAGATAATGCACGAGCAAAATTTCTAATTCGATTAAAGTAAGGATGGATACATGTTTAAATTTTAATTTCATAAATTCAATCTGAAATTTTAATAAGGAAACCTGTACTTTCTCCTAGCTTCCACGATTGATTGAAAATTTATAAATATCGCTAACGTTTTTATTAACGATCGCATCTCACCGGTTATAGAAAGGAAAAAACAAAAAAAAAAAGGAAAAAAAATAGACGCAACTCGATCTAACTCTCCTCTTACCGCCACCAGAAGTTTCACCAGCAATTAATTCCATCATCTCGTCGACAAGACGACAACAATTGCCAGCCATCAATTTAGACAATTGCTCTCATAATTGGCTTGCGTTCGTTTTTTTTCTTCTTCCTTTTTTCTTTTTTTTTTTTTCTTTTAAGGTGGACACGATGCTGCACTCACGATTAATGAGTCGAGCAAGTGGAGACTCGCGATTATCCAAGTCTCTTTTCTCGAGAAACCTTCGTTCCAACCTCGTTTTTACCTGATGGCCTTCCTTCTCTCTCTCTCTCTCTCTCTCTTCCAAAATCATCTCGTGTTGGTTCGAAAAATCCAACTCGATTCTCCAGTTTATTATTATCCAAATTCCATCTCGGAATCATATTAATACGTTCGGTTGTATAAAAATTCTAATTGCCTCGTTGTAATGGAATTTGAATTCCACGAGAATTCTTGCGATTGTTTTAACGTCGATTCCGCGACGGGGTTATATGAAAGCGGCAATTTCATCCATCGTGCTTTCTCGCGGGTCTTTTTTCTTTCTCTCTCTCTCTCTTCTTTTTTTTCTCCCTCTTAGTAAAACCGAAAGAACTTGTCAGGTCCTGGCGGCAATTCGATCCTACGTAATTACGTCTTCAGCGTCTCGTTCGCCTCGGTTTCGTGTCCGTATCGAACGATTCTATTACGACGTGGGCCTTCGAAGCGGCTCGAATTCAACCGATGAACATCGTACATTGGTGGCCGGGTCTTTTCTTGTCGGCCAATGAAACTCGTGACCAGAGAGTTTCTCTTTCTTTTTGCCTGGCCTCGGGATCGCTCGGAGTTTTAAACCGCGTAGCTCTACGCGAAAGATTTCTTTATACCTGTTCGGAAAACGTGAATTATCCGAATTCTAACGTGGAGTGAATCAAGGCTAAGTATTAAGTTTGATTAATCAATCGAGCAGGGATAAGAGGATTTGTACTTCTCGAAAGATTTCTTTATCTATAAAAAAAACGTGAAATTAATTATTCTGATAACTAGTGGGGATGAAGGAATTTGGAATGAACGGTGGTCTGCATATATTAAATTTAATTAATCGATCAAAGAGTTATATAATAAAATAGGATATAATAAAGTATTTTTGATATAAAGATCTCTTTATCTTTAAGAGAGTTGTGTATAAATATAGAAAAAAAGCCACTGACTTTTTCGATTTTCATACAAACGACCAGGCTTCCGATTAAATTAATCGATCAGCAAAGAAATTATAGAAAGCAAAAAAAAAAAAAAACAATCGAATTTCGTAAAAATTTACAATTTAACCTGTCCAAACTGAATGGTGGAGGAGGGAAAAAAAGTAGAACGTCTATTTGATGTTGGACGAAAGAACCGAAAAGGAATGATTAATGGAGACAGCCACGGATACGGTTAATGCAGCTCGATTAATAGACCAAAATCAATTAAGAGGATCGGTGGTAATCGGTTGTATCAATGTTATTTAAGCGAAATGAGGTCTGAATTACTCGAGCAGCGCCGTTTTTACTCCTTATTTGCACAGCTGCACGACGTTGGAGAACGATCCGTACTTGGTACTTCAAAAGGCTTGCTTCTCATTTAACAAGAAGGGACAAAAATGGTCGAAAACCATTCGTTGCCTCGCACGATCATAGTTTCTCGAATATTTTTCGTGAAGAGAATGTTGTTGAACTATCAATCTTCTCGCGTCTGGCAACCAAAGTGTTGTTCCAATTCACCAAGGATGAGAAACACTTGAGTCCACACACAATGTTCGCACGTTACATACGTTACTCGTGGCTTTGTTCGTGGCTAATGATTTTACCTTTCTGCTCGCGATCATCGTTTGTCTTTGCTCTTGTCAACCGCGTGAGTCATTATTCGGTCGCTTGGATTGCTCTCTGTCGGGTCCACAGGTGATTATTATCTAATTACCAGGAAGGCAGAGAGGGAAACATCTTTCAAATTGAAATCGCCTCGAAATTATTATGACTCCTATACTTCCATCTGTTCAATTTGCTTAATTATTGTTTGCAACAAAAACAAGAATGTAATCAATATTGATCAAAAAGAAAACTCAAGTATGTCAATATGTTAATTAATTCAAATTTGATAAAATTATACGAATCTTTGGATTAGATTAGACTTTAAATTTTTAGAGCCATCCTTTCTTCCATTTTCAAAGATACAAATTAGTGAAAATTGCTTGTCAAAAGAATCGAATAAAAAAAGAATTACAAGAAGAAGAAAAAAACAAATTAACTGTATTGACTCTCGCGAAGGAGGACTCTATAAACGCTAGACCTTTCAGAGTAGGTGGAGCCTGGCCTGCCAGGGTGCGGCCCCTGAGGAAACCAGGGGTAGTTAGTGCACGCAGGAAACATCGGTAGAGGGGTTGAAAATGATTTAGGTTCTTTGTAGAAGGATGGAAGGGAGGGCAATGGTCGAGCAGGATAGGGGGTTGGTTTCAATATGAGCCAGCTGGCGCCTCGCACGGGGATCATCGCTGATACCTATGTTCCATTTCGATGGAAACCGGCTTTGCGTCCCACGTTTTGTTCACGCACCCTCGAGAAAAAAAAAAGACAAAGAGTCTCGCGGATGTACATGCCAGATTTCTCGCGACGCTTGGGAACTATTTCGAAATCGAGGGACTTGACTTTATTGCGGGGATAATCGATAAAATTTGCTCGTTTTGTTGAAGAAGCAGAAGAAAGTTTCTGCGAAAGATCGAGGTTAAACGAGGAGAGGAAATATATATTTTTATCTTCCAAGAAAAAAAAACTTAATATTCGACACAAATTTTTGAAACGTTTATTTTTACAAAAGTGAAAAGTGCGTAGAAAAAGGATCTGGCTTTGCGTAGAAAAGAGATAGTGTAACAAGCATGACGTCGAGATGAATGGGAAGACGCGCGTGTCCTGCCAGCAGGGCTTCACCGACGGAGAAATCGAGAAGATGGTGCGCCGTTGGGGCGACAATGAAAGGGACAGGGCAGCCGAAAACACGGCTACCGCCCACTCGATCGTTTGTACACGGGTATTGTCGTTGCCGTGCTCGCTGTCGACGTTACCGCAATAGAGAATGAACGCCACCGAGCGTCGCCACAAAAGACAGATTTGTCCTAGAGACCACCCTACGATCCCCACAATGGGCCGACGCGTTCTAAAAGTCCACGTGTAGGTCTCTTAAAAACGTCGAATTCACGGGGTGCTCCTTATTATTCGAGGATCTCTTCTGCTTGTATTCGAACGTTTGTTATATCGTTTGAATTTGTCCTTCTCTATTTCAAGCTAGGTTTTCGATTAATCATTCCACACCTCAATAAGTAATATTCTTAAATTATTAAACGTATCTCGAATTGCTTTCTCTTCTTGGTTTTTCTTTGTCCATAACGCTTCTCGTTATCCAGTTTGCAGAGATAATAAGTTTTACGTACTGTAATATTAATTTTACTAGTTTTTTAAATTGGAAGGAAGGAATTTATTATATCTCCAATTCCAAATTTCTTCTCCCTCTTTCATCTCTCTCGATCGAAGACGAGTCGAAGACATCCCTATCCGTCCCTTCTCGAAACTCTGATCCCTTGTTAGACGCTCCTTCTCGACTACCTCACGTTCTGCTCGGTAACACGCAACAACCCCGCATCTCAAAAATCGCCGACACAATGAGACGAGTTACGCGAACCGTCTAACAGCCACCTTTCCAACACCTGGCAGCCCCGCCAGAAGCGTTCGCCATAGAAATCGGAAATACAAATTGTCGGGGTGAACGTCGCGTGGTACCGGGAAAAGCCACAAATCACCCGTTTCTCCCTCTACCTTTTCTTCTCTATTCTTCGATCCGGCCGAAGAACACGATCCGATCTAAAATGACGCTAACGAGGCTGGCCTTCTCGCCGAGCTGACGGCTTCCAACTTCTCCAACTCTTTGCATAGGTGTTGCAGCAACTCGAGTTTATTGAATCGCCAAGCGGATAGGCCTCTCCTTGCTATTCGCTAACTATTCGGCGAGAATAGGATGCATGCACGAATTGACAATTCGAAAATTGGTTCTCAGATCTTGAAGACTTAATTAGAACTCTCTGTATTCTCTGGAGAGATTGTTATTTATCCCTATTGTTAAAAAAATTTCCTCCAGAAGATGGAGAGGCGAGGCTGTACCTCGTTTCCCGAATTGATTGAATTGAATTTCCTTCTCTCTCTTCCACATCCACATCAATATATCGTTTCGATCTTTACGATTATTTATTCCTCATCGAATATAATAATAATTTCTATTAATATTAAAAATTCCTTTCCTCTCTCGCAACGTAAAAGACTAAGACTTGATATATCGAATCCTCTCCCCTCTTTATTTCCCTTTCGATACGAGTCTCTCGTCGTAAAACGGAAAAAAAAAAAAAAGAAAAAAGAAAAAAGAAAAAACCGCTTTCCAACAGTAGTTTCTCCGGTTGCTGGAAATGGAACACGATCGTCGAGGTATCCCCTTACAACGCAACCGTCTTCCTCTCGATATCAACGTTGCCAATGTAAAAGAAGAAGAAAAAAAAAAGAGAGAAATCGAAGGAAAAAAACTGATTAGCCGGCATCTAGATCCAGTCCTCGAGAGTCCTCGGGATCACCTCTGGTAGCGGTTCCACGAGCTACGAGAGAGCCGATTAGCCCTGAGATCGTGTTATATTCCTCCGTGGGCGAGGGCGGTCGCGGGCAAAACGGACGATCCTGCTCGAGGACATAATTTACGCTGGGAAAGGGCGAGTAGCGACAGCATTAGTAGCTAAGTGGGATCCTACGTTATCCTATATCCCGAGCGTGGATTGCGCCTGTACGTGTACACACAGTGTGCCCCGCGATACGCGCTCCTCCAGGTGATCCCTATCTGCCGCTGGCACCCGCCACGCCGGCAACAACACCGAGGCCCATTCAGATTACGATCTTCCTTTCCGACCGAGAAAGAGAGAGAGAGAGAGAGTGGAGAAGAAGCGGCCGTTTAAGGCACGGAGAAAAACGAAGCGGCCACGACGATGCTTATTGTTGCTCGAGACTCTTCTGTGTACAATCGCGTTGCGAACTCGCCGCGACACCTTCTCCAGCTTTTGCGGTGTACGGGTTATTACCATTTTGCCAGGCCAACTCCTTTGTCTCCGGGAAAGAATGGTGAATCGTTCGAAGGGTGAAAGGAAGATGGTGGAAGAGAGGGAAGTGTTACAGAATTCAGAGACGAACAGTTGGGAAGAAAAATCGTGGACGAATTCGATTGTTGGATGTACGTTTTAAGATTATTCAAAAAATGGATGGATAAAATACGCTGTACAGTTTAAATCGTTATCGAGAGCGATCACTCTCGTTCGAGTTCCATTCTTCTCGTGTTCTCTCTGTGCATCGTTTCCCAAGGTGAGAAGGGCGGTATATACTAGCGACACGTATCGCGAAGCGCGAGAGGCATGAAAGAGTATCGGGGACAAGCGTCTCGCGTCGAGACAAGGGTCGGTGACACACGATTGCTATGAGCGTGGCGTCTTCCTCCCGGCAGGATTTACATTTAAGGGCGGCCGATCGGGCGACCGGCAGCGGCATTGAATCGTCAGTCAATGTGAAATTTAAACGTAGGAGCTTGTCCGGGGCAGCGAGGAGGCGAGCAAAGAGGCGAGATAGGTATCCGAATACATTAAAGCGGTCGAAGAGGATATGTTGGGAGGCTGGCCAAGGGTTTTTGGTGGCCGATACCCGAGAGAGGGAGAAAGGAATAGCCTCGTCAATTAATTAGAGGCAAAATGGCCACCACGGGGGGACGGTGGACCACCATTTTATCTGTGCAGCACCGGCCGGATTCGACGTTAAGCGTCGAACGTAGTCAGTCGTAAAGTAGAGATAAGTCGCCGCCTACCAGAAAGGATAGCCGAAACGGCAGCTGCGCCCGCAGATATTATGGCGCCGAAAGGGGGCTGGAGAGGATAAATCCCGGTAGATTAGATCGTGGATCCCTCGACTTTCCAGCCTCGTGAAACTTTCGGCTTTAACGTTTAAACTATCGCTAACCCCCGTGTACCCCCTCGACCTATCGTCGAGGTTTCACGCTGATGGCGGTGGCCACCTGGAAGAGCGGGAAGGGCCACCTCTTCTCTGCGGTCGCGCCGCGTTTCCGTCTTGCACCTTGCGCCCACAGAATGTCTGCCAGCGATGGCGGAGGATGGGTATTAATTTTTTTTAAATGAAAGTTGTCGAGAGATAAAATGTCGAAGGCCCGTCGAATTTACCTCGAATTCGTTTCAGATATTCGTTTCGATTAAAATTTCTGGAAATTTGTGAGCGGAAGGAGAGTGGAAGGAGCGGAGGAATATATCGAGTCGTGTATATAAATACACGAAATATATAAATTTACCCCCATTTAGAAGAGTTTCGACACATCCACGTTCGTTCGGCTTCCGTACGCGCCATTTTAACGTTCGTGGTTGCCGATTACACCCGTTAAAGGAAAGACGTTCGTGTTCACGTAATAACAAGCGACCATTGCAAAAGGTAACGCGGCAGATTTTCTATGACATGAGCGAATACCGATCGGTTGGCTCGCCATATTCGCGAGCAACGATGCTTACCCAATCGGAACGGTAGCAAGAATTTCCCCGTTGGCAGCGGCAATTACAGCCAATTACAGATAAAACAAGGATAAAAGATCGATTAAGAGAGATTCTTGATGCAAACACGAAAAATTCTTTGTGCAAACGTGTCAGTTTTTACTTAGTTGATCCAACTGTTTATAGATAAAGTGATCATAGAAGTATGATCGGAGAAAAAAGTAATTGCAAAAAGTTCCTCAAAACTATAAACTTTCTAATAATAATAAAAAAAGAAAAAAGAAAAAACGGTCGTTGTGCAACTGCTCGAGTGAATCTTTGCTTTCCATTCATATAAGTGAAAAAAAAAAAAAAAACGACGTTAGGTTAAATGAAAAAGTTAATGACAAGTAAATTACAAGATTACAACTTGCTACTATTTATTGCCCCGATATTAAAAAATATAAACTTTATCCGGATAAAGTGATTATAGAATCACCGAAGAAAAAGTGAATGACAGCTAAATTGCAAGGTTGATTCGATGATTAATGATTGTGTCATTGTTTCTGAACGTATACACACGCGCCTCACCGTTTATATTATTATTACAGACTTAACGTTTCTCGGTGAACTTGGTGTGATCTAATCGTCGCTTCCTGCGAAACGCAGATATCATTCAGATATACAACACAGTTTAGTAAAGCTGACGAGCACAGTTTAGTAAAGACAGTTTGGAACGAAACTTATTCGCGATACGTGCTCTCAGTTGCTTCCTGAATCGAAGAAACCTCGCGAGTTAAGCCGGAATATCTGCGATTATGCTGTTGGAATCAATCCAAGGATATTCTTCGTCGCCAATTCGCAATGCTCAACGAATTGCAATTAATAGTAATATTTTTAGCTAGAATTTATTTCATTTTATTAATACCAATTACACATTCATTCCCCGCGGACGTCATCTCAAGCGCGTCTTCCTCATTAACGTGATCGACACGTCGGGGGAAAGATGAATCGATGCGCAATGAGGAAAAATCATTCGTGGTGGATTCGTTTCTCGGTTCATTTTCGAGTTGAAAATGAGAAGCAGGAAAATAAGAAGGAAAAGAGAGAGAGAGAGAGAGAGAAGAGGAGAAAACGACGGGAAAAAGGAAATTGGAGATGGCAGGAAATGGGGAGGAAAAAAGAGGAGGGAGATGCAGGGAAGGGATGGCGAGCGAAAAAGGGGGAAAGGGGAAAGAAGGCGAGGCGAGGTGAAACAGCACGCACAGTGGCTGGAATAAAAAGCGACAAAATAATTACCTGGTTAAAGTGGCTCGGGGACTTGCATAATTTCTCACGAAAGCGTCGATATTCGTTGCACTTGCCTGCAACGAATGAGAAAAGTCGGAGAAAGAGGAAAACAAGGATAAACGGACGAGGATAAATTGACCACCGGTTAAAATAATTTTTAATTATCACGGTAGACACACGTACACACACGCGCGCATGCTGTGCACACGAACGGTCGAATTATAATATTAATAAGCCGTATGAAAATTTATCGGTCGACTGATCTAAATGCGAAAATAATTACGCACGATGCCCCTTAAAATTCCTATCTTACGCCATCCGTGTCTGGAATCGTTCACCCTTGTTCGCCATCGCGATCCCGTGAAAAATATACATTTTTTTCAATCTTTCAACAACCTTTCCATCTTTCTCAAAACGTAGCCTCGAACAACTTCGAGCATCTTCGAGTAATTTCTCACGAGATCGACGAGCCGTGGAAAAATCAACGCGACAGAGAGGGAAGAGATAAAAAAGATGGGAGGGGGAAAAATCGGTATCAGCTTCGTGGTAGAAAGAGGCGAGGGAGGGGGAGGGCAATTTGTTCGCTAAAAGGGAGAGCATAATAATGCAATTATGCGTCAGGTACATGCACTGGCGGCGCGATTCTTATTAGCAGGCAATATTTTAATGCCAAATTGAATTTAATGATCCCGTAATTCGGGCCGCGTTGTTGCCGCTCGAGGGTGCCCCCTCGTTCGAGATCTCGAGCCCCGCTTCCGTCGATCGGCACGATCGATCCGCACGCTCGCGAAAAAAAGAAGAGAGAGAGAGAGAGAGAGAGAGAAGAACGGAGACGCGGCATCGCCGACAGAGATCGGCGCAGGATATCTCGAGTTGGCCGTAATTTGCGCGGCCGAGGTGCGCAATTAATCGCGATTATCGCACCATGGAAATCCGTGATTATTTTAATATCACGAGCGAGAGATGATGACTTGGCTCGAAAGATTTGATCGAAAACTTGAAATCGTTTACGCGGGGAGGGGGGAGGGGGGAAGAAAGAAAGAAAACGCGTGATTTGACCTTAATTCTGAAAAAATGAAACGAAAGGAGATGATCGGCGAAATTAGTATCATTACCGAAATATATGAAATATATAAGAATAACCTGAATTATACATCGTTCTTTCGAAAAAGATTTTCTCTTAGATCGTTCCTTTACGGGACAAATATTTCTCCTCAAACCCTCCTTAATTACCTCAACTGCTAAAACGTTTTAACCGCTCGACAGTTTTATCTCTCGTCTATAAAATCCAACGAATCTTCCCTCTAACCCCGCATATAGTAAAAATACGAAAGGGAATCGCTTATTACCCGATTAATAAACCCGAGTGGATGCAGCTGCAACAACCGTTGGACAACCCTCTCGGTCTCCATCCTTGATACCGGCTTGTTTATTTCGGTTCTCGAGGGCGTGACGGGAGGAGGGGGGAGAGGAGGTAGGGGCGCAGCAAGGGGTGGGGAAAAAAACTGATTGCAGGTACCCACGAGCAGCACTCAATTCAGATAATGGAATGACTTGATCGTGGCGGCAGCTTCGTCTTCTCGAGGTCTCAAGGCCCTTTTACCGCGCCGGAATAAATTGGCCGCGCGGGCTGCGTCACTCCCAACGCCTACCAAACACGCTCCGCGAATAAATTTGTATCCCGGCTTCTTCTTTGCTCGCCCCTTTATCGTTCGCAACGCTTCGCTCGATATTAACTTCGATCGATTCCCAATTCACCACGCTTCCGTACACGAGCCCAACGATCTTTTGCTTTGTCAATTTTATTATTAGAGGGAAGAGACTCGAACACGTGTAAGAAATTAAATTGGATCGCAATCGGAGGACTCGTGTAGAAACTTTTTACTAGTCGCGGTGTTGACCGACTAGTTTTCTACCGGAAGAAGATGTTCGAAAGGAGATTATGGATATTATTAAACTAAGAGCAATGGATTTGCGAAAATGAACGAAGCTTTGAAAATCTTGGGCAATAATTCTTTAGTTGGATGATCGAATATATTAACACAAGAGAAAAAATCAACGGTAAGAGTAATTTCGTTTCGATGTTCGTGATATTCTTCGGGTATATAATAGATGCGACCGGGTCGGTTTTAATAAATGTAATTAGCTTCCGCTTTTATTGCTATAAGTTGCTCAGCCGACGCTGGTCCGAAGGCTGATTTCTCAAGATCGAAAACAACGAGCTCGGTCGTTATTCACGATTACCAATAATAAATTCACCCATCACGAGCCGCGTGTCTTGCGCAAAAGGTTTTCGAGGGAAGATAGCGGCGCGCGATATATCGATTTTCGCGAGAGGCTTAACCGTCGATGGTGATTAATTGTGCTAGCGTTTAATCTTGCGTCGAGTTTTAAGAGATATTACGTTTAACCGGCCGGCCTTGAGTTATTGCCTTGAAAATAATCGTTCCCTTTATTCTTCTGTACACCTCCCCCGGAGAATCCCTCGATCGTGTTCCGTGGCGTGACTTATCTGCATCTGCGAGAAATGTTCGTCTTCCACGATTTTCTTTCTCTTTCTCGCGAGAAGAGAAAGGGGAAAAAGAAAAATTATCGAGAAGGATTATCGAGTGATTCTTGAATTTCTTCAAACTTTGTATAGGAAAAAGAAGAAAAAAATGAATCGAATTAAAAAAGAAAAAGGAAAGAAGCAATAACCCACGTGTTAAATTTGAGAGTGAAAGTCAGAGATACGTACGACGTAGACATCGATTAGTTAGCTTCGCGTTTCTCGCGAAGGCGTTAGAGCAAACACGAATGCCGCGGTTGGCATTCGATTACCAGCGAACTTGATGGCTCGTTACCACCTCGGTGTGGGAGTTGGAATTGAAAACGTTACCTCTGACACTCTGTAGGCTCAATTTCGTCAGTGAAGTGATGCAATCGATACGCCATTACCGCCGTGTTAATGCAATCTTTGTTGACGTATAAACAGAGATGTGTAAAAAAATGCGCGCCTACTATGTGGCGCGTGAAAAATTTCAAAGCAAACAGACAAATTGGCGCGCAACCCGATAAAAGATTGCGTAAAACCTTTTATTAAACTAAACGACGATTGTTCGAGGCAATTTTAACGATTGTTCTCTATCGTTAAATCACGTTCGAGGCGTCCACGAAGGATTACGCCCCGATTCATCAAGTTTGAAGAGAATGGGAAACGAGGGAAGTAATCGTACAGTTTAAAAAGTGCGCCACGGCGATGGCGGACGAAACGATCCAACTACATCGGCTTAACTACATAAGTATATCTTTCTTTTCGTTCCTCGCGAACAGACCCTGCAGCCTTTTTAGCCTCTGCCTTTCCTTTTCTTTTTTCCTCTCCTTTCACCCATTCGATTATGCCTACTATTTCTATCTCCTTGTCTACCTGGTCCTCCTAGAATTCTTTTTTCGTTAAATTTCTTTCTTCGATTATTTAAATTATCTAGAATAATCAACATACTTAACTTTTGTCGATTTCCAATAGAAGAATCTTCATCTTGTTGATTTTCCAATAATTTTCCCAAACGTTTCCCAAAAGAAATATATATGTCCATCTATTCTCTTCGATCTTTTTATCGACAACTCGACGCTTTCCCTTTCGAAGCGTGCCTCGGGATCGGTATCCGTCCCCCTCGATCCTCATCTTCCACCCTATTACCCTCGACGAACACCTCCTTCACGTTTCTTCAATTTCTAAATTTCTCTTCAAGTCCATCCTCTTTCCCTCGCCCTCCTCCCACATTCAGCCTCTCAGTCTTTCCTATAAAGAAGCGACCCCCTTCTTCCACCCCCTTTTTCCCCATCCTCCTCTTCTTTTCCCTCCAACCTTCCAGCCGACTCTCCTCGTTCTCTCCTCGTTCCAGCAATCTCCACCCTGTCCTCCTTTCTCCTCGATCCTCTCTCCACCTATCTCTCTCTCCCTTTCTCCCTCCCTCCTTTCTCTCTCTCTCTCTCTCTCTCTCTCTCTCTCTCTCTCTCTC